ACCGACGGTCACTCTCTGCTCCCCCTTCTCCTCGGGCCCGAAGCTTTGCCCGAGCTCGATTGAGCTCTCCACGAGCCTTGAACCTCTGCTCGAGAAGGGGGAACGAAGAGCGACCGTCAGTGGAGGAGCCTTCGGGTGTCTCTGGTTGATGCCTCCAACCTTGCTTCTTTATAGCCATTTCTGGGCGTTCCTCTGTTCTCTGTAGGTGTCACCAATGGGTCTTCAGTGTGTCTTATCAGTGGGTCTCAGGCTTGTAACGGTTCTGGTTCCAGGCGGGGGTTGCTAGGGTGTTCACACAGTTGCTGCGGTGTTCACCCAGTTACTAGGAGTAATATTCACTCTTGAATATAACAAATTAATATATTAGGTTTTGAATTATATAACGCTAAATGTTAAACACACTTCACACAATTATAACAATGAGTCTACAGAATCCTTTTATTAATCTAAGATACATTATGGGATCTTCGTGATTTCAGTTTTCCTACACCTTGAAATATTTCATTAATTCCATCAACTTAGATTTCACCATTGCACATCAATTATTACCAACTATGCTTTAAAAAAATAGAACTAACATAGTAAGAAAATAGAAGACGGGTTTAGTTGCCTAGAAGGATAATCCACAGGTGAAGTAAATCATCATTAATAAATTATACTTCATTTTCTTATTTTTTTTTCAGTTTATTGTTTAGCACAAAATATTGCATCCCCTTTCAAAAAAATGAAAGGCATAAAAGACTGAAGACATCTTTGTGGTTTGTGTTGGGAGGAAAAACTTTACTTCTACCCTTTTAGGTTGCAGTAGCTGGGGACCTTCAACTTGAACTAACAAAAGAGAAAAAGCAGACAAGTTTTATTAATGTTTACATGCATGAGAGTTCACTCAACAGGGGTAAAATTCAAAGCAGTAGTTAGGCTTAGGGGCTTATATACCATTTTAAAGAAAAGAGGACTTGAGCTTTGAGAGACAAATCAAAGGGAAGTACTAACTAGAACATATATTAAAAAAAATAATGAAATATAATGAAAGACAAAGGTTATTTTAGTTAGGTCTGTTTATGCAAACTCGCTCAGCATCAAGTCTCCATCTCAAATGATAAGTGTCTCTTTCCTTCCTGTATGGGGAGAAGGGTATGACACAAAAGGAAACTTATGCTCTACTTTAGGCCAACAATGGGAGGCAGAAAACTTTTTATCTGTTGATTCTCAATTGCCTTCTGTTCCAACTAATCTTTATGTCAAAGTGACACATAATTGGATGGCATATCCTGATCCTCTTCATCTGCTTTTAGTTTTCACGTTAGAAATTCAGAACTTCTTTTCTACCCATAATAGGACAAAAGAAAATTAACAAAGGAGACATTTCACAATTATTAGATGAACCTAAAGACCAAGGCAAAGATGGAAAGCCAACACTTCAGACGCTAATGACAGAGAAATTTGGGAAATCTCAGACTTAGTCTTCAGATAAGATATCCAAAACAGCGGAATCCGGTTTGGCTCAGTGGATAGAGCGTCAGCCTGCGGACTAAAGGGTCCCAGGTTCAATTCCGGTCAAGGGCATGTCCAGTGGTTGCGGGCACATCCCCAGTAGGGGGCGTGCAGGAGGCAGCTGATTGATGACTCTCTCTCATCAATGTTTCTAGCTCTCTATTCCTCTCCCTTCCTCTCTGTAAAAAAGTAGTAATATATATATATATATATATAAAAAAGATATCCAAAACAAATTTTCCCCAACTCAACAATCAATGAGTGAACAATATGCTTCTAAGAACTAAAAGTAACTTCTCATCTACTGTCACATATGAACCTGGAACATATTTATCTTGTAAATACTGATTTGAGATATCAAATACTTCCTTAATAAGTCCTAGCTTATCATTCCTTTTGGGTCTTCATTTTTCATGTACATCATCAATGAAATATTTGAATGTTCTGAAACCTTTGATGGTTCATAATTTTATTGGAGGGTAGGCATCTTCTTTGCTTCATAATTGCAAGGTATTTTCAGTTTTAGATTTGCAGACACCAATTAGAATAATCAATCCAATGAATTAAAAAATTTCTGTATCATATTTCCTTCTTGTCACCATTGTATACATCTGTGTTCAACACTTGTTCACTTCTGAACTGTATCAAGTTAAATTTTAGAACACACATGAAGGATGGTCATATGCCCTTTTAGCAAAACAGCATGGTTTGCATTCTTTTTTTTTTTTTTAATATATTTTTTATTGATTTTTTACAGAGAGGAAGGGAGATAGAGAGTTAGAAACATCCATGAGAGTCATCGATTAGCTGCCTCTTGCACACCCCCTACTGGGGATATGCCTGCAACCTTGACAGGAATCTAACCTGGGACCCTTCAGTCCCCAAGCCAATGCTCTATCCATTGAGCCAAACCGGTTTCGGCTGGTTTGTATTCTTGTAAAAATATTGCATAATGTATAATATGAAATACACTGTATGACTTAAGTAAGTAATCCTGCCAAAAATATTAAGCCTGATATATTCAAGGAATACAGGTAATTGAGGGTACAAAGTAAACCCAAAGAAAAGGACAGTCAATAGAATACAGAATGTGGGATATGCGACAAGATCACTGGCGTAGATCACTGGCGTAGTCTCTTCAAAAGGTCTATGTCATCACACACACACAGAGACGGAACAACACTAAATTAAACAAATAAATGTAATGCATGATTGGATATTGATAAACAATTAAAAAGAATATTTGGGGAATTACATATACTAGATTGTAGGAATTAACTTTGATTGTGGCATTGTGATTATATAGAAAATTGTCCTAACCTTATAATATACATACTGACACACATACCTTACACTTCAGTGTGAATAGTCATATCCGCAATGGACTTTTGAGAACGTTCATCAAAGAGAATGTGAAATGAGCCCAGTGAGTGCAGTGGTTGAGCATCCACAAAGGAGCCACATGCCCAGGTTGTGGGCTCCATCCCCCCAGTAGAGGGTGTGCAGGAGACAGCTAATCAATGATGTTCCTCTCTTATTGATGTTCCTATCCATTCCTCTCCCTCTCTCTCTCTAAAAATCACTAAATATATGCTGATTTTTTTAAAGATGGTGAAATGGGTAAATAAAGCAAATGTGGCAAAATGGTAATAACTATTAAAACTTTGGAGTAGGTACGGTATGTGTTCAAATGTGCCACCTTCAACTTTTTCAGTTTGGAGGGAAAATACGGTAACATGGAAAATTAAAAACAAAATGGTTGCAAGGTTCAGAAATTAATTCTTAAACTGTAAAACAAGTGGCAATTGAGTAGTATCTAAATTGTGTAGGTGAGCCTCCTTGCCTCTTCTCACTACTCACTCTTAAAAGACAAAACGTACTTGAACACTAAATGAGAAATCAGACCTAAAGTTCTAGAACTGGCTCTATCACTTCCCAGCCATGAGCTCATTAAAGAACGATCTCCCTCCCAAGCTGGTTTGGCTCAGTGGATAGAGCATCCGAGGGCAGACAGAAAGGTCCTGGGCTCTTGAGTCTTGGGCACATGCAGGAGACAGCCAATCAATGATTCTCTCATCATTGATGTTTCTCTCTCTCTCCCTGTCCCTCTTCCTTCCTCTCTTAAATCAATAAAAATATATTTTTAAAAAACACAACTCTCGCTGAAACCGGTTTGGCTCAGTGGACAGTGTCGGCCTGCGGACTGAAGGGTCCCAGGTTCAATTCCAGTCAAGGGCATGTACATTGGTTGTGGGCACATTCCGGGTGGGGGGTGTAGGTCTTAGGGGGTATCAATGGCAGATACAAATGTTCGATACTTGTGTAAGGTTATTTGCACTAATGTTTTAAAACATCCAAAGCCTTTGATTTTCTAAGCAGAACCTGCGCCTTCGCAGGCACAGCAAGCAAACCCCCTCCCCCCCCAAAATGCAGGACACCTGGCAGACATGCCCAGAGGCAGCTTTTGTAGATAGGACTCTTTCCAATGTGCTGTGTAATAGCACTAAAAGGCGTCCAATTCTTAAGACACAAACCAAACCTGAAAACCATAAACAAATTAAAAATAGATTATAAATTAGAATTAAAAAAAAAAAAAAGCCCACACTAAATCTTTGCAACACAGAGAGAGAACCCCTTGTGGGAAGGTCTGCCGTGCTTGCGGAGGGGGTTCACTCAGACTTCTCTCCTCTCCAGCAGCTTCCTCTGGAAAGCGGGGTGACTTGGGACAACTCGGGAGCAGCCCCGGGCATCGCCAGGGCCTGAGAAGACCTCAGCGTGAGCCCGTCCGCTCCGCCTCCGGGGTGCAGCCTGCGGGCTCATCGGAAAACCGTCCCCGAGGGCGCGTCCCCCCCCCCCCGCCCCGGGGCCCTTCCTCCGGAGACAATGAGACGGGACGGGCAGGGCACAGCCTGGGGCCGGCGGGGGGGTGTGCGCGGGCCGCGCCTGCCGCCTGGGCGGGGACCTGGGCCGCGGCTCCCCAACGCCCGCGAGTTCGAACCGCCCGTCGTCTCTGCCGACGCCCAGGAGGCTCCGGGGGAGGCCGCCGCCAGGGGAGCAGGCTCTCCGCCCAACACCGGCCCCAAATGCGCAGAGACGACGACGGGACCTGGCTCCGGAGAGGAAAGCCACCGCCAGGCTAGGGCCGCCAAGGCTAACGGCCTCGGAAAGGGAGGGGGGGCAGGAGGCGGAGGAGGAGGCGCAGGAGGCGCAGGACGAGGCCCAGGAGGCGGCCTGGGCGGCGGCGGCGGCCTTCGCGGTCCCGGCCTACGCCCGGCTCGGCCGCTGCGCCACGCCGGGAAACCTCCCACGCCAGGGCCGGCGCAAGATGGCGGGCCGCCGGCCGCCGCGCAGCCGCCGGCCCCCGTCCCCGCTCCCTGGCTGCTCCCGGCGACCCGCGCCGGCCTCGACACCCCCGGCCCGGCGCCCCCGGAATGAGGCGGCGCCGGCCGCGCGGGAGGGCCTCTGCCTGCCGCGGCGCGGGGCGGGCGGGGGCGGGGGGCGCTTACCGTGAGCGGAGCGGAGCGGCCCGACTGGGGCCCTGAGGAGGAGGAGACAGAGGAGGAGGAGGAGGAGGAGGAGGAGCGCCAACGGCTACACGGCCGCGACGGCGGCGGCTCCCATTGCGGAGCGGGCAGCCGAGCCGCGGGGAGGGGGCCGAGGGGTTCGCGAGGAGCCCGCGCAGTGCCTCATGGGTAGGCTCCGGGCCGGCCGGGTGAGTCCGGGCTCCCGGTCTTCTCGGCGACCCGGAGGCGGGCTGGCATGTGCGCCGCTACCTCGAAGGCCGCCCGCCCGCCCGCCCCGCCACGCGCCCGCCTGGGGCGAGGCCCTGCCTGCCGGGCTGCTCCCCAACCCGCCCCGGGGCAGCGACCCCGAAGTCGGGGCTGCAACGAATCCGAAGGCTCGTGGAGACATGCGTTGGGGGCCTCCCTCTGTGTAACAGCTACTTCTCCGCAGGCTTGGGAAGGAAGGGAGAGGGGCTCCCCTGAAAAGCAGCACAGGGCCTAAGGCGCGAAAACATCACCCAGAGGAGAAAAAACATCACCCAAAGGAGAAAAAGAAGGGCAGTCGTGTTTTTACTAAATTTGTTTCAGACACACTTTTGCTTGTGTCTCCTCTAAATCCCTAACCCTGTCGTATGCATGCCCATACTAACGAAAGAAAAAAAAGTTAAGAGATGTGCATCTACAAGAACATTTGCCAAGAAACTGCTTGCACGCATGCTTCATAGGCACAGTATTCTGACCTGGAAGGAAAGCCTCCTCTCCCGGTTGTCTTCACAGTATCAGTGGCAGTGATGGCCCAGATCTCAAGAGTGACCTGCATTTGAAATCCTTGCCTCTTGTTAGATTCTGAACATACACACGTGATCACTGCACACAAAATTCAATCAACTGAATACTACTATTCTTCCTACCTATTTGAATTAGTTTCTTCTTCCTCATTATGACTGCTCCAAGCTCTTCTCTGCTGTTTATCATTGTAGTTCCTTCCTTACTGATTACCATTCCAGGATCCATCTTCTCAAAAGGTGACTTGCATCACCCCTCGAGGACTGGTCTGGCTGCAAATAACCAGGACCCCTTTTCCCAACTGGGCCAAGGATATCCTACCCAGTTTTCCCTTTCTTGCTGACCTTGAAAATACATTTTATAGGAAAAAACACAAAAGAAAATAACAAACATGGAAAGCTAAATAGTCAAAAGTCTAGGAACAATTATAGCTCCTACTATTTGAAATATAGTGACTTAGCAAAGCATGTTAAAGTATGAAAGTGAACTTGAGATTTTACTCTGTATTCTAGAGCCTGTCCTCAATTTGAAGAGACAGAAACTTAAAGTTGTTAGCCCTGTTAACATAAAAACATTCAAACCTGTAAAAAAAAAAAAAAAAAAAAAAAGTTTATTTGAGCCAAACTGTCAACAATTACCAGGAAGCAGAATCTCAAAGGATTGGGATAACACTCCAGAGAATGGTGGTTTTTCATCTATTTTTATACATTGCAGTCAAAGGAGGAGACGTGGGTGGGTTACATGAAATCCATTGGTTATAGATTAGAGAGGTGAGAAAAAGCCAAGTGGGAAACTTCTAGGATTGGATAAAGAGTAAAATGATAGACACATACTTCTTTTACTTAGGTGGGTACAAGATAATTAATAGTCAACGACATGATAATAACAACAAGGAATTTATGGTCTCCTGACCTGGTGCCCAGGGCATTTGGTTGTGGCCTGAAGGATCCCAAAAAAGGGAAGTTATAAGTTACCTGACATTTTAAGGATATGTTACCATAGACACAAAAAGACAGATCAACTCAGTTAAGGTAAAGGTTGACCTTGTCAGGGAAGATACTGGCCTAGGATACCTACCATAACTTTTAGTTTAATTTCAGACCATCCTTTGTGGTTACTTTAGGACTGAGATTGCAAGACTGCCATGCAAGCCTTCCATGAGCTTGTCAGGTTAGCATGTAGTCCCTTTGAGCTAATTTAAATCCAGGGGAATGATTCATGCCAACCAAACTAGAGACTAATATGTAAACCAAAATCCCAATTTAGTCCTTTAGTTTTCTTTCCTGAAAAACAACTGCCATGAACATCAGAAAAATCTGGTCAAACATTGTCACTCAAAAGAAACATTTACCAGTACTTGAGAATCCAAAATATAAAGGATGTCCGATGACTATGCAATCAATACTCAGGAAGTAATTTGGATGATTTATTTGACTTCTCAATACTTAAAACTCCTCCCCTTGACTTCTAGAGCATGTGTCTCTTGATTCTCTTGACTTACTGTCCACACCTTCCCATCATTTTTTAAGAGTTTCTCTTCCACTAATTTGTATTGTCTGCCCCTTTCCATTCTGTACACAACTAAGTCTCCTAATAGTACTCTGTCCTTAAGTGAGATCATGTTTCAACTTTTCTCTGAGTGTAATGTATATAGGTGATCTCCCAGCTTCCATTCTACAACTCTGTTCTCTTCACTCGGGCAATTTGGGTGGAAATACCACCCCCAACTCCAAAATTGATCCCACTAGCCTAAATTTATCAGAATCACACGTTCCTCCCTTTGAACCAGTTTTTGCTTCAAAAGCCAATGGGAGTGAAGCACAGGACTTTTGTGTCAACAAAAGAGATTTTTCTTTCTCTGGGTGATAGGGTGTTCAAGTGTGAATACTGGAAGAGTTACAAACTGCGCGCTCGCGCGCGCGCGCGCGCGCGCGCGCTCTCTCTCTCTCACTTGTGAAAGCCAACTGAGAATAAGACTAACATGTGAGGGAGAGCTGGGCGAATCAGAATCAATCACAGAAGAGAATTATCATAAACTTTCAAATCATATCCAACAAGAACCCATCCTACCTCTAGACTTCTCTGTTATATGAGCCAATAAACTCCCTTTCTGTTTAAGCCACCGTAGCATAAAAATTATTTTTAGCTGAAGGCATTTGAATTCCTGAAATCCCTTATCTGCCTTAAAGGCAGAGCCTCCCCACAAAAAACAAACTCAAAAATCTCCTCCTAGGGAGCAGCTAGGAAAGATTGATTCATATCTTTAGAAACTATGAGAATTGTCACCACACCTAAACCACTACATTGTCACAAACTATCTACAATCTATTCCCCTAAGGGCCCATTTATCTTTCCAAAAGTTTCTGGTTTTCCCTCTTTTCCCCTTCCACCTCCTAAAAAGTGGCCTTGTTTTCACATGTCCTTTTACCCCTCCCCTTCACCTATTGAAAGGATATATAAGCCTTCAATTCTAATCACCCCTGGGATTCACATTTTTTGTGTGAATTCCCCTACATACAATAGTATGTGATTAAAATGTTTTTTCGCCGAGACCGGTTTGGCTCAATGCCGAGACCGGTTTGGCTCAATGGATAAAGTGTCGGCTTGGGGACTGAAGGGTCCCGGGTTCGATTCCGGTCAAGGGCATGTACCTTGGTTGCGGGTATATCCCCAGTAGGGGGTGTGCAAGAGGCAGCTGATCGATGACTCTCATCGATGTTTCTAACTCTCTATCTCTCTCCCTTCCTCTCTGTACAAAATCAATAAAATATATTTAAATAAATAAATAATAAATAAATAAAATGTTTTTTCTCTTGCTAGCCTGTCTTTTGTCAGTTTCATTCACAAGCCTCCCAAAACTAAATCTAAGAAGGTAGAGGAAAAGATTTTCCTTTCTGACAAAGCCTATTTGAGTTGGGTTTTCTGTTCCTGCAACTGAAAGGAACTGTGGTGTAAACAATGATAAATATTTACCATCTTATTTCCCCCCCCCCCACTTGTACCTAGGAATCCCACAGTTCCTAGCTTCTACATTCCCTTACTTCTACATTCCTGCCAGTGGAATGTATAATAGATAAAAGCAGTGGTTGCCCAATCTAAGCCTGACCCTTAAAACTTTCAGTGATTTATAGTTCCTTTTTGTTGTTTATACATCGGTCTGCCAGATACAGAAAACTCTAAGGCTGAGGAACTAAGGGATGACAGCAAGAAGAGATGGAAGAACCCTAGGATTCTTTTTATTTTTATCCTCACCTGAGGATGATATCCTTTCATTAATGAGAGAGAGAAAGAAAGGGAGAGAAAAAACTATCAATGTGAGAAAGAAACATTGAGAGGTTGCCTCCTACACACATCCCAACCAGGGATTAAATGGGCAACCTAGCTATGTGCCCTTTCTTGGAAGCGAACCCGCAACATATTGGTGTATGGGATGATACTCCAACCACTTAGCCACCCAGCCAGTGCAACACTGTTATCTTACCTAATAATATCTTACCTATTAATAGAGAAACATGTAAATTGACCATACCTCCACTAGGCCCACAGCCAATCAGAGTGAGTATACAAATTAACCCAACAAAGATGGAGGTTAATTTGCATACATACCTGGGTCCCTGGAATCTTCTTGGCACCCAGGTCACTCCCAGCTGGGCATCAGCCACTGGAGGGGCCAAGCCTGTGATTGGAGGGGCAGGGTAGGGGAGAGGGGGGTTATTTCCCAAGCCTAAAGCCTGGGGCTTGGGAAGGGGCCAAGCCTGTGACTAAACGCAGACCATCCAGAAGTCAGCGCTGGGTTGCCCAACTTCAGCCTGGTGACCCAACTCTGACTGCTCAGGTGGCTGAGATCCAGAAAGTGAGTCAAGGTCTGATCTGCAGCCTCAGTGGAAGCTGTTGATCAGTGTACTTACCACTGTCTTTCTCTCCCTCTCTCTTTCTGATCTTCGCCAGCAGCCAGGCTTTTCTTTCTCTCCCAACCCTCCCCCGGGGCTGCTGTTAAGCCCCACCACTTTCAAGCCCAGAGATAAGCCTGGAGATACTGATTGGCATAGGAACTGACCAGTGAGAAACAAAGGTGGGTACTGTGGGGGAGCCAATGACTATCTAGGAGGCAGAGCTTTTGATGCTGACTGGCATAGAAACCAACCAATTAGAACCAAAAGTGGGTGCTATGGGGAGCCAATGGCTGTCTAGGAGGCGGAGCTTTTGACACTGACTGGCATAGGAACTGACCAATCGGAACCAAATTGGCC